ATGCATGTCAAAACCAAAGTAGAAATAATCAAAACATGTTATCATAAAACAATATCAGAGTGTAATCCCAAAGATCTCATGTGCGGAAAACCATAGTGTGATGCGCTGCGATCAAGCCGGCTCCTTTCCTTTGAAAACGAGTACCTGAAACCAAAACTGTAAACCGTAAGCAAAAAGCTTAGTGAGTTCCCCCATCGTACCACATACCATACAATCACATAACCTACATACTGCCGGGAAATTCTGGGGTGCCCGACCTACCCGGTACGGCCATTCTGGGGTGCCGACCTACCCGTGTCAAGCCATTCTGGGGTGCTGACCTACCCGTGTCAAGCCATTCTGGGGTGCTGACCTACCCATCGGTCCTAACAACCGAACCTCGGGGACTATTCCACCCCCTACTGCTACTATCATATATATCATAACATGAACATACTATCATACATATCTGGGGTGTCCGAACTACCCTTCGGTCCTAACAACCGAACTTGGGGACTATTCCCCTCCTACTACCACTATCACATATAACATATCATGCCAGCATATAAACATATCATAACATACTGTCAGACATATCTGGGGTGTCCGACCTACCCTTCGGTCCTAACAACCGAACTTGGGGACTATTCTCCCCCTACTACCACTATCACATATAACATATCATGCCAGCATATAACATATTAGGTAGTAGCAAATCTAGATGAATATCACAAAGACAATCATCTAACATACAACTCCTACTGGTGGGCCGGCATTGTGGCCGTAGACCCACCGCTACTGGAAGGTAACTCACCTCACACTGCTGAAGTCCCGTAGACACAATCCCACACTGCTGAAGTCCCGCAGACTCAACCCCAGCTGCTGGCTGACAGATTCCCGAACTGTCAACACCAAAATAACACCCAATTAATTATTGGGTTCCACTACATAACCATAAGTACATACTTTGGATAATTACTACATTACCCCGTGCTAGGCTTTATTCAAGCCCAAGGCCCAATCCAAGGCCCAAAAGTTCAACTATGGCTTAAAGCCCAACATATGGCCCAATTTTCCAAATTAGGCCCAAACCCTTACAAGGTCTTACCATAAGGCCTAACCATTTAGTCCAGTCCAACATTCAACATTCTAATGGCCCAATATCACATAATCATAAAGGCCCAAACTATCGCCCATCTATGGCCCAATTTTCCAAATTGGGCCCAACTCCTCATACGGGCCTTACCTCAAAGCCCATTAATTATTCTAGTCCATTTGCTTGATCTTGGATGGCCCACTAATAACTCAATCATCAAGGCCCAATAGAAAGGCCCAACAATAACCCAAGTGAAATTAGGGTTTCACATAAAATGGTGATTAGGGTTAAGTTTCCTACTTAACCCATTAAGGACTTAATCCATTAAGTCCAATATTGCTTAGATTAGTCTTTGCCAATGATTATTATTTAATATCTCAAGTTATTAAATAATTCTCGTGTGTGCGTCCCGATTAATTCTCAAAATTAGGGTTTTATTGGCATTAGGGTTTTCCAATCCAAATATTAGCCCATTTATCAATTTGTTGGCCTTTTATGTCAATTAGGGCTTTATTGGGCCTATTAGGCCCACTAGAATATCATTAAGCTCATTAGGGTTTTCACTAAGCCCATTAGGCTTCATTGGGCCCATTAGGGCTTCTTTGGGCCCATTAGGGTTTCAAGCACCCCAAACGAGTCAACACAATCCGGTAAGGCACACCGCCACCCGACACGGCGGCCGGTGGCGGCAGCCACCACCCTACGGTGGTGGTTTGAGTTTCTTTTCATTTTTTTTCTTTCCGGTTACATTTTACAATGCTAAAACCCCAAATAATCACACACACACTAATACAAACACACATAGCCACCTTAAGGTGGCCGGCGCGCGGCAGATGGTGGCAGCCACCACCGTGAGGTGGTGGTGGTGGCTGTTCTCAAGAATTCCGACCAAACCAACACTACCTACATGAAATAACAAACACCCATACGATCTCTTTGTTGCAACGAGTCCAGCCACCCTCCTGGTGGCGGTTGGCGACGGCAGCACCATGGAGAGGTGGCAGCGGCGGTCTTGACGGTTGCCTAACACTGGAGAGATAGAGAGAAGGACTTGGGGCGACGCTAATGGCAGCAGCAGCAACGACAGAAGAGAACCCTAGCTCGGCCTTTATTGACGGCGACGCAACAGCAAATGTCACCGGGAAAGGCGGAGGTGGTGGCGTTAGGCGGCAACACCACGGCTCCTCCGTGCTACAGTGACGGACATAGGCTGAGGCAGCCAACCAAACGCGAACAACAACGTACCCACGAGCGGCTTCCCAATCCCCTGAGTCTCTTTGTCTTGCCGGCGGCGGAACAAGGTGGCTGCTCTCGTGGTTCTTTGGTGTTGGCGAGGAGGCGGCAATGAAACAGTAGCGAGACGGGTCTTCGCCGGCAGCCAAGCCATGATGGCATCTCGATGGTGAGGCAGCAGGCGGCGTCGTTCGGGACTCCATCTGGTCGGAAAGCGAGAGGGACATCGGGCGGCGGCTGGGGAGAATGAGGAGGTGGCGCCGGAGGTTGGGAGGCATAAGGGGGAGGTGAGTGACGACTGCAACATAAAGGCTTAGGGTTAGGGTTTACTTAACCCTTTATAACCGGTTCTCTTCAAAGGTTTGCCATAATGACAAAAGTAGCCCCTCATCTCCCCATTTCCTTCAAAATAATCCAATAATTACCCTTTGAACCCTCACCATTAAAATCCCTTACAACTTAGGTACACAATTTACCAAACAGTCCCCAAAGTCTTAATTATAACATATTCAGCCCTTCCACCTCATTTCTTTTTAAAATAATTCCCGATAATTACCACGGAGCCCCTGTCTTCATAAATATTTATAAAATGAGTCCCGAACACACACTATTAACCCCCGACTTCTAAAAATGTGGCAATTAACTCCTCGAACCCAACACCCTGCATATATAATTATTTGTTTTTGGCTACCATTCGTCCATTAATTGATTTATTTAACTAATAAATAAACGGGTGTTACATTATAACTGTGATCCATGGTATCGTCTCACCGCCCGGTCTTTCCGACGTTGGCTGGGGGTGTGACACATTTACCCTTAAGAGTTAAGTGAAATTCTGCATGTAGGATTTTTTTTGTAACCTAAAACCCCCAATAGTGGTATCATAGCCTTGATTTTCACATTAACGGTAGATAAAAGATGAAAAACGCAAAACATAAAAATCGATAGTCTGGTTCGCCACGACGTTGGCAGTCGTCTGCCATGTCGTGGGGACTGTTTGGAATCCGAATTTTAGGATTTTCTTGCCTTATTTAAATGATAGGATAATTATTAGTTAATCCATATTATTTTAAATGTCTAAAATCCAAATATATTAACTTGATAATTAAAAATCCTAATTTCAATTAAATAAGATTCAATAAGATAATTATTTATTATAAGATAATATAATTATCCTAATAAGATTTATGAAAATTAATTAAAAGTTTAATTAAAAGATAATTCTTAAATCTTTTTTAGTTCAAATATTAATTACTAAAGGTTAATTGAATTAATATGATTTGAACATTGCAATTTAAAATGTTTTAAAATACACCTTTTATATATATATATATATATATATATATATATATATATATATATATATATATATGTATTTACTATATGTATAACTAAAATTCAATCGAATTAATAGTATGTGTCATTCATGAAGCCACATTCTAAGAGAAGTATAATGAAGCGTCAATTAAAAGACCGTTGACTGGGTGTCAATTTCACCCACCGCTTCTTTATGTGGTGGAGGGTCGTTAGCCGAACGAGTTTGATAGGACATAATCATATTAAAAGTATAATGTATGAACTACTAGAACCTTTTATAGAATCTCACTCTAGTTAGTTTAGAAAAAATGTGAAACTGTATGCTAATCCATGAAACCCACATCTTTTCTTTGTGAGTCGTTAGTGGAGCGTGCGTGGATAACCGACACTCTAATGTGGGACTACACAGATGAAATGACGGTACATACTTGAATTTATGGTTGTTGATGGAGCGTGTGTGGTTTCCTGACACGTCAATGCGAGACTATAATGGACCTCGATCAAGTCACGCAGGTTTGCATGGTTATTCACATCTTATTTGTGATCCTCGACATGTCAGTCACAAATCAAAAAGCATAATCTATATAAACATGACACAACTAGAGAAAGATAATATGCAATAATAATTACTTTATTTAATTCATTTGTAATGATACGGAGCACGACAAACACAACAAGTTTATGTCAATATCGTTTGAATTTTGTATCGGATTTTAAACACGAATAGAAAGAGAACTAGATATTTTTTAACAATACATATTTAAATTTCATGCTAATTTCATTGTATGTCATGTATTTTTATGATGTTGTATATTCACGTGTGAAAAACCGAAACCAAATAATCATAACAAACTAGATGATTGTTTGGTTTATTTAGTTTTTGGTGGTAATTTGATTTGGTTAACCACATGATTTGATCTTATGTGGTTTGGTTTTCAGTAACCTTTTTATTTTTATTAAAGTGAATAGTCACTTAAATATAAATTTTTATAGCTTATTATTAAAAGTTATCGAGGAATTTAAATTGTATAGATTAGTTGTCAATTTTTTTTATTTAACTTATTACTTCATAACTAATAATTAAAACTAATTCGTTTTTTTGTTGTATATATTATTAAATATTACACAACTTAAATAAATAAATAGTAATCAAATAAAAGTTTAATGTGTTGTTCGGAATCGTATTTGATTTAATCTTTAAACCAAATTAAATAAACCGAAACCAAATAAGTCAAAATCGATATAACCAAACATTATATGGTTTGGTTAAGATTAATTTCAAGATGGCAAAAAGCCCATTAATTTGAAAACGGATTTAATTAAGTAATCGAATAACATTCTGTCATCGATTAGCAACATTAATCATAGGTTAAACTTAAATTTCGGCTGTATCATTAGGTTGACAAAGAGAAACAAAGACCAAAACTTGGAAAGCTAACAAAAAAGCAGAATTTACAACAACCTCTAACAAAATAACCAAAGGAAATGCAAGTAGCCATTGCAGAACTCCCCACTTATTCGATCCATAAGCATATTTCATTTGAATGGTCTTTAGAACAGATGTCCCAGTGTTGTCGTTAACCTCCACAGCAGATCCGACCATCAGATGGGACTTTTTGTTCTCAATCGACTTGAACTTTATGTCGGCCTCCAAGTCTACTACGAAATCGATCACTTTCACTGGACCATACAGGGAAACACGCGCCTCACCCAGTTTCCTTCGTTGTTCATTCATTGAAAACAAGTCTTGAATGACCACAGATGCTTGGATATGTTTAACCTCCCCATTCCCTTGATAAAAGCCTTTAATGGTAGATCGTTCGATGATAACATTGCTGCCGGTTGATACGGTTGATTGCAAATAAGTGATTGTCAGATTTACAGGATCCTCGTAGTAAATGGCTATCCCCGAGTTCTCATTCTGGATTCTCATGTCCAAATAGATTGTGGCGTTGTTTTGTCAACGAATTGGAAACAACATTAAAATTATCAAGGTAAATGGTGGGACGGTTACGGGATACAAGTAGGACTGTAAAGTAATAGGCAATACCGGATACACATAGTTGTATGTATACGCTTGTGCACGAAGGTGCAGCCATCAGGAAGTGTAAAGAGAATAAGAGTGGAAAGTTAATGATCACTGAAACTTATCTTTTGTTTCCTTTATAGACCAATAATAGAGTACCATACAAGCATAAACCAAAATAATAATAATAATAATAATAATGAATAAAACTGTATGTTTAATAAAGAAATAGAGTACACTGCTTAACATTATTTACGTTTCCTACGTATCAGTCAGATCACATATAACAATTTCCGTTCGTTAACTTAAAAAAATTGTATTATATCCAACTTTGTCTATGTTTCAGTGTAACTTGTTTTTACATTTTTGTGCTTAATTTTATATACGTTTCATACGTATGAGTCGCGTCACATATAATAACTTTCGCTCCTTAACTTAAAGAAAACTAATTTTTTACATATTTATTTATATATATATGTCGGTATAAATTTAAGGTGGTCAGCATCTGCAATTATGTTACAGTGGTGGTTGTAGGGGGAATTTGTTGTAAAAATCAATACACCAAGGTGGAGAATGAATGAAAATCGACCGGCTATTTAAAATCTATTTGAGAAGAGGAGGATTGATCGATCGAACCCAATATCGAACCTTTTATCCATGTAAGAATGTCATGTCACCTTTATTCTTCCCTAATTATTTTTACTGGTAATAACTTTTTTTTTACCTATAGCTGCTGTCGGTAACTAATGGATGGGATTTGAACAAAACATAAACTTTGATGGTATTTTTTTACCTATAGCTGTCGGTAACTAATGGATGGGATTTGAACAACACATAAACTTTGATGGTATTTTTTTTATACAAATTCTTTACGCATGTGAATTGTGGGTGGTGAATTCGAACCATATATTGACATATATTGTAGGGATAATGACTTGATACGGTAAAATACTTTTTGAAATGTACACATTTAGTCCTTATTCTTTTTATTTTTTGTAAAATAAACCCTTATACTTTATTAATATGTACACATTAGGTCCTTTTCACCGGATTCTACAGGTTTTGCTGACGTGGAAGGGTTTATTTTACAAAAAAAAAGAATAAGGACTAAATATGTACATTTCAAAAAGTATCTTACCCTATCAAGTCATTTTCCCTTTCTTTTATTTTGTTGAAATGAAATACCCAGGTGACATCCACATATCCACAACGGGATTTTTCCAACTTTTATTCATCATGAAAAAGAGGGAGAACCCCGATCTCCGACGACTCCTTTGTGTGTTCCTATACATCACTGGTAGCAAGGAGGAATGATGACAAAAACAACAAGGTCGAAGGGGGAGGCATGAGGAAGTAGAGACGGTAGTTGGCGGCGAGGAGCTGCTCTGGTAGCCCCCTTGTCGATTCTTTATTCTTTTTCTGGCAACATATCTCAAAGATGGAGGCAAAGAGAGACAGATCAGAGAAACACAACAGGTAAATGGTGTTTGGCTGTTGCTGTTCGACCGGAAGGAAGAGAGACGAGAAAGAGAAGGGTCGCCGCCCTTTTCTTGTTGCTGGAGGATCACCCACCTCCGGTGACTAAGCTAATTAATTGCTATTTAGTGCCACTTGTGCTTCCACATCAGCAAAACCTGTAGAATCCGGTGAAAATGACCTAATGTGTACATATTAATAAAGTATAAGAGTTTATTTTACAAAAAAAAAAAAGAATAATGACTAAATGTGTACAATTCAAAAAGTATCTTACTCTATCAAGTCATTTTCCGTAAAAGAAAATTCGTATATGACCGGTATACCGGGTATAGTCGGTCACAAGGATTGAATTGTTACAAAAAATAAAATATAAGGGTTTATTTTACAAAAAAAAAAAATAATGACTAAATGTGTACATTTCAAAAAGTATATTACCCTATTAAGTCATTATCCATATATTGTATCAAGACAACATAAATGAGAAATAGTGATCCTCTTTATTTTTAGGGTAATTTATTCTAAACATACGAACCATGTTCCGTTGCTGTTCACATCAATTCATAATTGATTTCTTTTTCTTAATATAATAATGATTTTATATAATATAAAATATTTTTAAATAATTTAAATACTTTAAAATTCATCCCTTTCACTTTTATAAAAATTGTTTTTAATATCTTTTACTCAATAGTATTTTAAAATATGTCAATATCAATATTATATATTAGGTGGATGACTTTATTTTTTATGATTTTTTGTTATTTTTGAACCTTTTTATATTTATATAAATGTTCTTTATTAAGTGGTAAAAAAATCAAAAAAAGCAGTGTGTATTTAAATAAAAAAAAATTGTTAGCTACTTTCAGTTATTTAACCTGTTAATACCGACCTACCAACAATATCATATATAAAAATATTATTTTATATTGTATAAAATATGAAAATAAAAGAATTTTAGAAACTTGACCAAAACCAATCTAATTACCGTGTAGAAGTATATCAGAATCACAAAATTGCAAAAATAGTCCCTATGCTTGGCAAAATTATTTGGTTTTGCTCCAAAAAGGTTTGGTGGTGCACTAGTGGTCCAAAATTGAATACTTTGTGTATTTTTGGTCCCTATCAGCTTGAAAAGACTATTATACCCTTTATTTTTGCTTTTTTATTTAAATTAGTTATTTAGTTAATTAAAAATAGAAAAAAGGTTCCACCTCTCTCTCTCTCTCTCGCTCTCTCTCTCTAAATGCCACCACCTCCACCACTTAAACATAAAACGATTTCAACAATTTTTTTCAGCGTCTACATCGGAAAAAGTCATCGTCGCCGCCAGATGTCGCCACCTCGCTTATCGTAGTTCGCCACCATTATTGCCAAAAAAATGTGCTTGATGGGCTGTATCCGGTTCGTTACCACCACCACTTCTCTGCCACAAATATGGTCTTTAACAACCTCCATTCTTGCCGTCACCCGTCAACATCACAACCAACCGGAGTTCATCTAGATCGAGAAGTTATCCGCCTATCTTTTCTCTATCTTATGTTGTTACCACCACCAGATCTATGCATAATAAAGTTAGGGGAGACAAACGCTAGTGGCGTAGAGGGGTGACGACTGTCATCAACTACCAATGCCACCATTGCTATGAAAAACCACCACTGTTCACGTGGTTCCCCATTCGAAATAAACCTACCGCTTGAACCAATCGTGGTCATCTAAACATCGGTTGACCCACCTCTAGTCCATCCATACTTATCCCTTCCTTCAATTTTGATAGGTGATATGATTTCTATAACCATTTTCGATTTCTAGTCCCTAGCCACCGCATACCTGAATAAATCTTCCTCTTTACATTAGGGTTTATCTTGGTGGTGATGATGCAGATGGTTGGAATAAATAGCTCCACATAATTGGAGGTTGTAGGGGGTTGTTTGGTTGGTGTGGTGTAGGTGGTTCGATGTGATGCATGTGGTTGTTGTTGGCGGTATAATGGTGGTTTATGAGTGGGTGTCAAAAGAGAATGGTGGTGTTACAGTGAGGAGGTCAGCGGTCCGTCGGTAGTGGTGACCGGGTGGTGGTGGTTCCAAATAAGAACAAAAAATTAGGAGGGATGGGGGTGGGTAGGTGGGATTTTTCTTTGTTTTTTAATTGAAACAATAAGAAAATAATTTAAAGAATTTAAAAAATAATTTAAGGGCATTTTCATCATTTTAGTTAGGATATGGATCAAAACCAAACAAAAATACCAACTATAAAAACAAAAAACATATTAAGTATCCAAAATTGGATCATTGATGCACCTCCAAACTTTTGGGGACCAAAGTCACAATTTTTTGACAACCACAAAGTCTGTTTTTGCAATTTTGTCAATCATAATTTATACTATATCTTTGATCAATAGATATCATTGTAAAAAATAAATATTTATAGAAAAATTGAAAATCAATATTATAAAAAAAAAAAATAACGATCGAGTTAACAACAGAATTCTGATGTGTAGATGGAATAAATCTTGCTTTCAATTAAGTTAGCTGTAACCATGGATTAAGGGTAGAATCTTGTATGGATAAAAAATTTATAGTTTAGAAGTATCATATTAGGTGTGTTTTTTAATGTAAAAAATAAGTTTTTAAATGTATTAATATATTTTTTAAATGCATAAATATATATTTTATATGTATAAGTATATCTTTTAAATGTAAAAAAAGTATGTTTTTATGCATATAAATATGTATTTAAATAAAAAAAAAAGTATGTTTTATGCTAATAATATCAGCCTACAAAAAAAAATATTAAATATAAAAATTTATTTTTTTATACAGTATGAAATATAGAATCGAAAATAGAACATAATTATAGACATTTGGCTAAAACATATCTTTTTTATGGTGTAAAAATACATTATAATTTGTAGTATCTTTTGACCAACAAATAACAGCATGTTATCAAATGGCTTCTAGCCCAGCGGTATCCGGTGTTGCCCTCCCTCCTTGAGGTTGAGGGTTCAAGTCCCGTCGTGGACATATGTGAATTTAAGGTGTAGTTTAGGAGTAGGTTAGATTTGCCGGTTTAAAAAAAAAAAAAAAAAAAAAAACATATTGTCTATTTGTCTTAGTAAAAATGGTAAGTGAGCATTTATAAAATATTTGAAAATAAATGTCGAAGATATATGACGTTTTGTTTAAATAGCAAAACAGCGATGAAAGTAACAACCATAAATAAATAAATAAAATAACCATAAATATTACCAAAGACCCTAAAACTATTAACAAAAAAAAACAAGCACTAATAGTAAAGGTAACAAAACAACGATGAAAGTCGCAACCATAAATAAAATAAACAAAGGAAGGAATAATAGCCATTGCACAGCTCCCCAGTTATTCGATCCAGTAGCATACTTCATTTGAATGGTCTTTAAAACAGACGTCCCAGTGTTGCCGTTGACCTCTACAGCAGATCTGACCATTAGATTGGATTTTTTGTTCTCAATCGACTTAAACTTTATTTTCGTCTCCAAATCTACCATGAAATCGATCACTTTGGCTGGGCCAAACAATGAAACATGCGTCTCTGCCAGTGTTCTACGTTCTTCAACGTTTGAAAACAAGTCTTGAACCACCGCAGAGGCTTGGATATGGTTAACCTTTCCGTTCCCTTGATAAAACCCTTGAATGGTGATAAAAATGGTTATGTTTTGTGGGATATAAGTAATGGTGAGATTTAGAGGATTCTCGTAGTAAATGCCCACCCCCAAATTCTCATTCTGGAATTTGAGGTCGATAGAGACTGTGGTCATGTTAGTCAACGACGTCGAGGTTTGGTTTAGCGAAGAAACATACAAATCAGCAACTGAAATGGTGGGACGATCACGACAGAGAAATAGAACTGTCAAGTAATATGAAATACCGCATAAGAAGAGAATTGAGAGTCGTAAATATCTAACGCATGATTCAACTACCTTTCTGAGTGATTGGTGTTCCAATACGTGAGTGGAATACTGGGAATATTTTAATACCATACTGTAGGTGTAGAGAGAATGAGACAGGAATGTTGATAAAACAAAACTACCCTACTATTTTGTTTTATAGACCAATACATGAAATACCATACTGGCAAAAACTTGGATGTTTATATGAAAAAAAGGTATGCTGCCAGTATTATCTGTCGACTACATGCTAGACCAAACCGTTGACTCATAGTTAGAAACTCCGAGAAACAGCATGTCTTTTTTTAGTCATAGAAACTTCACATGTAAGTGGATTCTTATAAACATTTTGTTAAGTTCAGTGTGTTCTTCCTGGGCTTTCATCTTCTCTAAGTTCCAAATTTCAAACTCAAATTAAATCATACTATTGGCAACATAAAGTCAATGCCCAATACATGTAACTAGTAAAGGGGAAAAAAAAACGATTCAGTATCAACAAAATATGCAACCAAAATTATGGAATATGAAAGAAAATTTCCCTATATGCTTACTGTCTTATAAACAACTTAAGAGTATCATTTCAGCTATTAAAGAACAACTACTATATTTGCTATGAACATTACATATTCCTGCTTTGAGTAAATTACTGAAATTGCCCCTGTGGTTTGGTAAAAATTCCGTGTTTGGTCCCTAACGTTTTTTTTTTTTTTTTTTTTTTTTTGCATTCGGATCGTCCTTGTGGTATCATTTTGTTACGTTTTCGTCTCTCACAGACATGAAAAAACTATGTTGCCTTTTTTATCTATTTTTTATTTTTTATTTATTAATTAAATTAAATGAAATTTAGAAAATAAAAAATAGGCCCTATCCTATCCCACCTTTTCAGCTCTTCTAAACCTCTCCTTCTCTATCTCTCGTCTCACTTGATCAATCACAGAGACAACTCTGGAGGCAGCCGACGCCCATCGGACTGCCACCAGAACTACTAGATTGTGGCTGGAAGTACGAGATATCGTCGGGGAGCAGTATTCCAATGCTTGTGTACTACAAGAAAGAAGATAAATGAGAAAGTAACGATCTCTATGCCCAGGAATGGGTAGAGAATGAGTATATATATATATATATATATATATATATATATATATATATATATATATATATATATATACTATAAATTTACAAATAAGCACCCTCACAAATATAAAATTACAAAATATTAATTGTGACTTATATCACCCCACAAGCGAAACGGGGGTGGACCAAGACAAAGCATATTCCGGAAGAGTTCAAACTAATGTCGAGGTAGACTTTTGGTAAGGATGTCTGCCACTTGAAGCTTGGTAGGAATGAACATTGGATGAAGCTTGCCACTTGCAACTAGTTCCCTGATAAAATGATAGTCAAGCTCAATATGTTTTCCCCTTTTATGTGAGACCGGATTTTGAGAGAGAAATAGAGCACTTTGATTGTCACACAAGAGAGTCGGCCGACCATCAGGTAAGACATGGAGCTCACGTAGAAGATGTGTGAGCCATACGATTTCCGCAACCGTATTTGCCATTTCTCGATATTCAGACTCACAACTCGAGCGAGAAACTGTAGGTTACTTTTAGCGCTCCATGATATAAGATACCCCCCCCATGAATATCGAGTATCCATAGGTGGAACGACGAGTATCAATACACCGAGCCCAATCAACATCAGAATACCTAACCAAATTGGTTGAATTAGGGCGAGAGAATGTCAACCCAAAATGAAGCGTGCCTTTAATGTACCGAAGTAAACGTTTGACAGCAAGAGAATGGTCTTCTTTTGGAGCTTGAAGAAATTGACTCACGTGATTAACAACATAAGATATATCGGGGTGCGTGATGGTTAAATATTGAAGAGCGCCAACCAACGAGTGGTACTTGGTAGGATTGGAGAAAGGCACCCCAGCAACAACCAAAGGAGTAGAGGATGATAGTGGTGTGGGCACTGGTTTATATTCAAGCAGACCTGTTCGAGATAAAATATCATGCACATATTTGGATCGACAAAGAAAGAGACCCGAACCCGTGTAAGACACCTCAAGACCAATAAAATAATTTAACCGCCCAAGGTCCTTAATTCGGAACTCATTATGCAATTTGTGAATGAAAGACCGAATAAGTGAGGAGTGAGTGCCTGTAAGAATTAATTCATCTACATAGACAAGTAAGTATAATAAACAAGTCCCACGTTTGAAGATGAAAAGAGATGGATCAACACGACTGCATTGAAAGCCATCAGCCACTAGAAAAGAGTGGAGGCGATGAAACCAAGCCCGAGGAGCTTATTTGAGACCATAGATTGCTTTATTGAGCTGACAAGCATGATTCGCGAATCGAGAATCAACAAATCTCGGTGGTTGCTGCATGAAAACTTTGTCAAATAAGTCGCCATGGAGAAAAGCATTATTTACATCTAATTGATGTAACGGCCAATTATTAATAACCGCCAATGACAAGACAAAACAGATTGTCACACTCCAAAACCGGAATGGCGGAAACGTTCTGGGGTGGAGGACGTCATGTCAAGTATCACAACACATGTAGTATAGTAATCAAAGTACAACAACCATTGCATTAATAGTATAAGTTTTTACATAGGTTACATTTAGCAACAACATCAAAAGTAAATATAGAGAATAACATAAGATGCAGCTTGGTACAAGGCTGACTTCGCAAAAGCTCCCTGAGTGTACCTGTCTACTGACGACCTGAGAATACAAGTTATTTTGAAAGAGAGGATCAGCATTTTAATGCTGGTGAGTTCATAAGTATTTTAATGGCATTGATATAAATACATGTTTTTCCTCAAAATAATCTCATTAGATGATGGTGATAAAAGTTCATAGAGTATTTGAATTCCTTCCAGAAAATCCTATATTTTCCAAATAAAGTAGTCTTCTACCAAGACTCGACTGTTTCATGTTTAAAGAGAATGAGCTTCCCTACTAAAAGCAGTCTTCTACAAAGACTCGAATGTTTTGAGTTTAAAAGAATGAGTTTCCCTACTAAAAGCAGTCTTCTACCAAGACTCGACTGTTTTGAGTTTAAAAGAATGAGTTTCCCTACTAAAAGCAGTCTTCTACCAAGACTCGACTGTTTTGAGTTTAAAAGAATGAGTTTCCCTACTAAAAGCAGTCTTCTACCAAGACTCGACTGTTTTGAGTTTAAAAGGATGAGTTTCCCTACTAAAAGCAGTCTTCTACCAAGACTCGACTGTTTTGAGTTTAAAAGGATGAGTTTCCCTACTAAAAGCAGTCTTCTACCAAGACTCGACTGTTTTGAGTTTAAAAGGATGAGTTTCCCTACTAAAAGCAGTCTTCTACCAAGACTCGACTTTTTTGAGTTTAAAGAGCATTTTTCCCAAATGTTACTATCATTATCAAAATATAGTTCTACATTATCGTTTTATATCAAAAACGTTCTAAGTTAATGTATTAGGGAAAATATTATAGTACCGTAGTTTTATATGTAGAGACTACCATGATACTAATTACCTTAAAGCCATGAATTATAAGGTAAATGTGAAGATACTCGTAACCATACTGATTGACGGATGTAAACACGACGATCTGCTGACGTCGAAACAAATGTGACATTTGTCACCCCTTGGCTTGGTCGGCCGGGACTGTAGCTAGCAGTCAGGATGTGGGATGGTCTGTCCCGTATAGATCTATACACACAATGCCCGCTCTCCCTCCAGGAGATTCTGGTTACCAACTTGACAACGGTGAAATCCGCGTCATGAGGATGTATCTCGTGTTTTGATTGCTTTATATACGTTTCTTTTTACTAAAAGTACACGTTTTAGAATATTGATATAGCTAGGTTCTCCTCACAAAAGTTATTGTTGATTTCTAAACTATACCTATTATAGTTTACTTGAGAGGTTATCTAGGTACCTTTGCTACCCAAAGGCGCTAAACTGGAGTAAGAGTTTTAATATCTAAATAGATATACATAATATATAACTAGGATTTCAACGACACTCGGACAAATAACCGGATACTCTAAGTCCACAACCAAACAAGGAACAGGAAATAAAGCGGGCTATCAGTCCTAAGTCCTTCAAACCTTACTTATATAACTATATCTACATAGACATGAATCTAACAAGAATATAAGTTTAAAAGACTTTGATAAAAGTTTTAGTAATTTAGAAAGAGATTTTAGTATTTTAAAAGAGATTTGAAAACCTTTAGCTGGATAAAACAGTTTAACATGCAAAAATCTATTTGCTTGACAGTTATTAATCACATGTGATTGATATAATAAATTAATAGTTCAACTTGTATTCCCCCCCCCCCCATAAAAGCATTTAAAATCATTTCAAAGGTTGATTAAGGGGTATGAACTCACCTGTAGTGAGTGATTTGGATGAAAGTGCCGGATAGGATGCTAAGTGTCAAGTGAAGACTTGAACACACACACACGGATCCTATTTAACATGTAATGACACATATATGCATCTAATTAGTCATTTAACAACTAATTAATCAAGTAAGGATACCCTAGGACATGGATAACACTTTGATTCAAGTGCTAGGAGTACCAAAGGGTTGAATCTAAAGAGAGTATGGCCTCACATTGGAGTTTACTGCCCATATGGTAACACCACATGAGTTTACGGTCAATGGTCACTTCCCCCATGAGTTTACGGCCATAAAATCATGGTAATTAGTGTCATCTTGTGTTTTAGGGTCTTACAAGTCAAGGTTAAGTATCCTATGATCAAGTCCAAGCCTTAGGAAGTAATAGTGGCACAATTTGCACTAACTCTTAGAGTTTACGACCCATGGTCATAACCCCATGAGTTTACGGCCGTAAACTCGTGTGTGCTTG